CTCTCTCTCTCTCTCTCTCTCGGTCTTCTTCTTCGTCGTGGTCTTCTTGCAGGTGCGCGGCGGCTTCTTCAACCTCAGGTCCGCTATGGCGGACTGTCTCCTTCGGCTGCCACCTCGGCTATGGCGCATCAGGCCCTGCATACGACGGTGCGCATGGAATAGCGGGTACCAGCTCCGATACCAATGCAATCAGACTCGTTCTCAAACACACTCTTCATGCATGTAAACAGCAACGCAGCATACTGGCGACATGCGCCTACTCAAAACTCAGCGATATGGCTTTCAGACACGAGTTCACTCTCAAATGGCTATGGCGACTTCAGCGCCCAAACATCTCACTGTTCACATACACTGGATCACCCTGGATATCCCACACGCATCACTCTAACATTCGAACACACACATGCACTCACTACTAACTACAGCTATGGCAGCTGTCGCTGCATCTACCCTATCGCTATGCTAACTCCATCTCTCTAGCCCGCTGCGTCCTCCCGGTTCATCAGCAGACCTCCTTGCACAAGTCGCTGTGGCAGTGCTTCCGCATGGCTTACGCAGGAATGAATGAATGGCTGGGCGCTGCCTCTTGATTTTTACTTCAGAAACTCGTTGGTCTGCCCTTTGCCATCGGCCCTTGGTGCTCACAGTCCCCCTGTGGTACTTGCTGGACCGGACTGGGACTAACTGGACCTTCCGCTGACTGACTGTGGACTCACCGCTATCCTACCGACGTTGTACTGCTGTTGCACTGCGGTTTAGTCCACCACTTGCCTCACCACTTGACCACTTGCCCACTTGCCTACCTTCTAGAAGGTCTACAGCTAAGCTTCCGGAACTCACTAAGACTCCTACCTACAGATCGAACCCCTGCTGCCTATGGACCTACGACAGGCCTACCAACTGCCTACGAATACACAGGTCACATGTTCAATTCTCGGGGTCTACACAGATACTGTACATGGGTAGGGTGAGGTCTAGGGATCGAACCCTGGGTACTGCATCCGCCACTGCTAAAAGGTGAAAACCGTTTCAATATCGTCCTCATGCTGTTGCTGTCTATGCCGGACAGTTCTCGTTTTTTTGCATCTGGCCATGTTCTCGCGGGATGTTCATTTTCATTTTGTGCATTTCCAGAAAGGAGAGTGGCCATGCCCTAATGCATGTAATCCTTGCCAAGGAGCCAATGCATGCCGAGGTTCTCCGTACGATCATGGCTGCCGTTTATATGTGAGGGATGCCCTGTATGGTTCCAATTTTAACGGATGTCCCGAGGAACGTAGGTGGGATCTTGCGCCAGGTACTTTCAATAAAAATTTGGACAAATGGCTTTTGTTTTCACAAAAGAATTCGTGTCCAGGATTCTTGCATTGCGCTTCTGCCAGATGGCTGCAATGGCCACTGTGCGACATAACCCCAACCCTTGTGTAGACTCACATTGTCTGGCACGCCCCCCGAAGAGCATCCACCACTTATCCCGTGGAAAAACAGTCTTTGTGATCCGCTTCCATGTTTGTCGGATCCAATGCCACATCCGTGGAGAGGGGGGGCAGTCCCATCCGAGGTACACCGTGGATCATTCAAATGCCCAACTGCATCCAGGACACGTCATTATATCCACTGTCACTCCATGTTCCACCAATCAGACGGACGAGGGGGTTGCTACCAATCAGTCTAAATACAGCTATAATGACCGTATGTTGCATTCCAGGGGAAGAAGAAGGTAGAAGCAACCACAGTGTTGAAGCTACCCTGTAGTCTTTGAGAGGGAATGATCTTCAATTGGGCCCAGCACCACGTCAGAACCTAGCTCATTGAGCTGGATCCATTCCATCAACTGCAACCAACTGGATAGAGCAACTACCTGAGGAATTTTCAATGGCATTGGGCGTGGATCCACTACTCAACACGCTCTATGCATTTGGACGCCTTTTTGGACCACGTGCATTTGGAGGAGTCCAGCATTTGGAATGCAAGGGGACAGTTTTGAGCTCGGGATGCATATAGAGGGCTGTGGAGTGGAGAGAGGCCCATTGCCAACTTGAAGTGGTAGCCCATTCTCTGAGAGGTAGTCCAGGAGGCACAGAGTTTTTCCTTTGTTTCCTTTTGCACGCCATTCTCAGCTTCTTGGATCCACCTTCAGATTTGACCTTGGTTTCCAGCCTCCCATTTCGTCTAAGACATTGGTTATAATTGGAATCGACCGATGGGACTAGCTGTATCGGGACACCCATGATCTGTCGAAATACATACCTCAGCTGGAATCCCAATCAACTCAGACGAGTAAATAACTCTATTTATACCTGGGTCTGGCCAGTTTGAGGGCCTAGTTGCACTACTCGCCATACGTCAAGTTTGGCGAGTGGGCGCCTGGTTGCACTTACTCGCCAGTCGCCAAACTTGGCGAATGCAAAATGTGTCAGACGGCTCGCCACACCGTTGGCACAAGTTGTGGAGAGTCTTTTCAGTTTCCCCGCCGTGCAGTGGAGGGTGGTCCTCGGACCTCTCCACAAAACAACTTTCTGGAGAGTGAGAGTCGACATCAGGTAGACAATTTTTTTTAACTTTTCTGTAGAAGAAATATAGTGGCGAGTAAGTGCAACCAGGCCTTCCGACACGATTTTCTTTTTTTTCACTCTCCACGCATCTGCCACGAATTGTGATGGATGGCGAGTAGTGCAACTAGGCCCTGAAGATGAGATCTGAAAGCCAAATCTTTCACTTTTCTGTAGTCTAAGAAGAAATATAGTGGCGAGTAAGTGCAACCAGGCCTGAAGTTCGACAGGATTTTCATTTTTTTCACTCTCGGACCCCACGCATCTGCCACAAATTGTGACAGATGGCGAGTAGTGCAACTACGCCCTGAAGATGAGATCTGAGGGACAGAGGGAGAAAATAGTAGGGGCTCTTATAACTGCTCAACAAACTGTACCACAAGAAGACCAAACCCGAGCAGGGAGGCACGATGAGGGACAAGGGGGGGAAACTGAGGGGGCCCTCATAGCTTCTCTGCTAACTGTACCACAGGAATACCAAACCCAAGTGGAGGGGCATGATGACGGACTGGGGAAGGAATCAGTGGGGGCCCTCCATTCGGCCGAGGACCACCAGCGTGACTCTGAGCAACTGAGGACAAGTGCGCACGACGGGCCCCAGCTCGATCGCCGGGTCACGTCGACTGCGGACCTCAGGATCCAGCCTACCCTGCGGCTCCCCGAGGCAGGGCGTGCCGATGAAACTGCTGGTGCTCTCGTAACGGGGCCACAACCTGCTCCACACGGGGACCTCACCCGATCACATTCCCCGGACCTCACCCGATCACATTCCCCGGACCTCACCCGATCACATTCCCCGGACCTCACCCGATCACATTCCCCGGACCTCACCCGATCACATTCCCCGCTATCTTCACCCCTTAGGGCGAGGTCCCTGCTGAAGTCCTCAGGCAAACATCAACACGTTCGCGGGGACAGTCAACGGCGGGCAATGCGTAAGCTTCTACGCTTCGACTACCTGACCCGAATTACCAACGGACTGAAAAGCTTGATTCCAGCAGAAGGGGATAGCCCAAGACTCACATCTGACATTATATAAGCCCCCCAAACAACGCGCCAAGCGGACCAAACGCAGCTGCAGCAAAGTCAAGTGGACCAGATGCAGCAGCAGCAACCCCCTGGGCCCCATCCGCAGCAGCAGCCCCTGCCGGAGGCCATATCCGTAATGCGGGACAATGTGCTGACAAATATCAGACAGTCTAGCCACCAGCCCACTACAGCTGGCTGCCGGAAAATGCCGAACCTGACTTCA